TGTGGCTCAGTGTTTTGTCCTTTGGATGGACCAGACTTTGTCTTAGAGTGTTCGTAGGTTTGAAATAGACCGGATCTCATGTTGTCTGAAAATCCTCTGTAGTTTTTCAGAAACACCAATTATTAATAGGGTTAGGTTATATGTAATAGGTTAGTGTTAAAATTTCAGCCTAAACCCCTTTGCTCTGTAGAATAACTTTAGTGATATGCATAAAAAGCATAATTTCTGTGTTAATTTATTGTAATATGATGTATGATTATGTTAATTGACCGAAGAAAACAAACGAACTAACTAACTAAGCTTTAAAGAAAAAACTGTGTTTGTGCTGCTATAAAGTTATAGTCTTATGACACCTGTGGATCATTATGTTATCATCTGCATGTAATAAAAGAAACAAGTATGCTGACTTCCGTTTTAGAAAACTGTGTTGCCCAATGGGAGCTGATGATACAGTAGATGTGATCACAACAAAGAGCCATGTAGCTGTGTGAATCTCCGATGGATCGCTGGAGATCACACAAGCAGATTATTTTTTTCAGATGTTCCAAAATTACCACACAAATCCTACACACATCATTGATCAAGAAAATAAAACTGAAGAATAGTAAGTACAGAGCATTGGGCATGTACCAGTTGCAGAGCTGATATGCAAAATGGCAGAAAATAAAACAATGAAAATAAGTGACTAAAGATTGCTCAAACATGTACCAATCACTTCCAATATGGCATACGATTGTGTTTTATATTAAACTGGGCCTAGTGTTGTCTATAAACAGCTACTCTGTTATTGTACATCCATCAAAAGTTACTTAACAAGGCCAGATTTATCCTGGAATCCTGATCTGAAACTAACTGTATCTCCAGATTGTAGATAATGATAATCTTGTAACATTCAAATAAAACGTTTCTAATATTTATACATTTTTGGATCGCTGCAGGTGGACAATTTAAGTTTGGATTTTTATTTCCTATGAGGAGGACTCAAATATACATTGAGTAATAATGTATTTAATGCAGCTTTGCACACATTTGTTTATGCTGTACAGAAACAAAACTTGAAACTACATGGCTGATTTGCATAAACTATAAGCACTGAAAAAACAGCTTGCTCCTTGATGCAGTCAGCTTCTATCGGACTAAAGGACTCCGGAGCCTGGTTAAAGCGCCTGGGCATTGAAGCTGCCTGACTCCTTCCCGATGCGCTGTAGTCCGTGCAGAGCTTAAGTTCCACTGTGTTTAAAAGTGAAGCTGTAATGGACCTCTTCACATGTAGCCTAGAAGAAAAGATAAATTCCTGGCCGACGTGTTTGCAGTCTGACAGGAAGTGAGAGACGAGGGAATGAAGAGAGGCAGACGTGATGAAGCAGCGAACAGCCAGAATCCACTGAAAACCATTTCAGCCTCATCCATCAAAAATGAAGAAATACATATATTTTAAAAAGATTTCACAGCTCCCCTAGCAGTACCTCTGTGACCCCCCTGTTGAAGACCTCTGAACTAAAACATGGTTAAATGCCCTGAAAAGTTGATTTGGCAGAATAGGTCTGCTTTAAAAAGTTACACAGGTAAATATAACTTGTAACTAAGTACTACCAACCTCTGAACCGGGGAAAATTACATGGGCTAAACTTGCACGGTGAATTTCCAAACACTGTTTTTGATTGGCTCCCCATAAGAGTCAGAATAGATGAGCAAGGACAGTGGGACAGTTTGACATCCTGCCATAGGCTATTTAAAACTATGACATGACAAAATACATTGAAGTTTAAAGATGCCTGCAGTTGGTCCATGCAAAAAAACATGCTTTTTGTCAGAGTTTCTGACAGTTTTTGCGTATTAGGCACCAAAACTTTCTTACTTACATCGTGATAAAATATTGAACAGTACCTCCAGCTGCCCTCACCTGCTCTCATGACTAATGTGTGTGAGAATGTGCCATAGCATACTGTATTATTCACAAGTGTGAGACAGTCATATCCTAATACCTCTCATAATGTAGAACACCCTATAAATGTTTTGTAGCACAGTCTTGGCATGAGTGCATGTTTCCACACACGGCCATCAAAAGTAATGGCATTCAATAACAGTGTGCTTTCCTGTGGCACAAACGGTATACGCTATACAGTAAATAAAAGTCATGGCAGTCAACAACATATAACAGTGGAATATAGTGTGTAGCATATCCCTCTTGCGATTTTAAGATTTAATGGCAAGAAAACCTCCAATCTGCCATATGAGCTCAGCCAGGCTGGCGCCACCTAGTGCCTCCGCTCAATTTCATTTCTCTCCAGCGACTAGGTCAGGAATCACAATACACTAGATGGTTCGCAAAAAATCCCAGAAGTGCAAGTTCGGGCACCAGCCAATCAGTGAAGAGTCATATATTCAGTGTTGTCAAATGATTCCCAAGATCGAGGATTTGAAGCCAGAACAAAGAGAATGTTTGGTGAATTTTATCAAGGGTAAAGACGTTATTGTCCTTCTTCCTATGGGATTTGGGAAAAGTTTAATATACCAGTTAGCCCTGTTAGTGATGCATTACATACGTCACGGCCAAATAGCAGCGATTGGTTAAATGATAAAAAGTACCCGTCTACCGCTGAGCAAACAAATTCTAACACTGTGAGGTCAGAGGGTTTCTATGACGTGAAACCGGCTGATGAATGAGGCTAGTAAGAGCTAAAAGGAAGGGGGGTGTGCAGTGTATGGGAGGCGGTGTATGGGAGGAGAGGTAAAATGGCGAGAAGGAGGGTAACCTCTCAGACTACGGCGGAGCAACATGCCATCAGTGGCACAGACCAGACTGCCATGTTAGATGTTAAATACATAAACCCCACTAAAGGCAGGGGTATATTTGCCTCGTCGCCTTTTCAAAAGGAGGATTTTGTGGTTGAATATTGAGGACAACTTATTGACCTTGAGGAATCAGAGAGGAGAAGGAGGATATATAATGCAAAATGCTTGATCTTCATGTTCGACTTCATGTGGCATGGAAAGAAATTTAGCATTGATGCTGCGATGGAAGATGGCTCATTGGGAAGGCTGGTCAACGATGATCATGTCCATCCTAATTGCAGGATGAGAAGGATATTAGTTGGTGGAAAGCCACACCTCTGCCTGTTCGCTGCTAGAGACATACACAGTGGAGAGGAGATTACTTATGACTACGGAGATGACAATTGGCCATGGAGAGAAGAGGCTGGTGGAGACGCTCCTGACGAAGCTGTGGAAAACTACATCTTGCCATGCAGCTCCAACCCAGTGATGCAACAGGAAGAGGTTTCACCGCCCCAGCTTGCAGGGTGGCAGTGGAGACTCATTTGTCAAGGATTTAGAGAATAGGTCCTTTGTATTCAGCTCCAGCATGGTGTTGCAAGACAAAAAAGATTTTTGAAAAAGCCAAGTCCTCCTTGGTAAACTACTCAGACTCCAGCGAATCAGCCATCAGTTCCAGCACTAATGAAGATGTTCCCCCATCCACCATACAGAGCAAAGAGAAGATTCCTTTTGGGCTTGATCTTTGTGACTCCAGTATGAAACACGGAGATGATGATGATCAACAAATGATTGTGCCAATGTTTAGGAGGACTAAAAGCATCTTTATGAACAGTCCTGATGGATCTGAGGAACTTTTTGACACCAATCCTGATAGTGGAGAAGAATATGTTCCCGCTTCAGGTGGAGAAAGTACAGATGAAAGCATGATCTGTGAAACATTACCGCCATCCTTGTCAGAGGAGACTCTGAATAGCAAAAGCTGTTCAACTCCATGTCAAAGCAGTAGCAGAAGCAGTGCAACAAATGTCTATACTCCTGACTTCACATGTTCTCTGAGCAGGGGATGTGGAGAAAGTGCCTCAGTATCCATTCCTGCTGTCAGAAAGAAAGAAGATTGATCTCAGATGTAGAACAAGAAGCATTTCTGTCTTTATTGTGGGTTTTCTTTCCTGAAAATGTCTACACATTTGGAGTGTAAACACAACAACGCCCCTCAGCTGCTGCCTTTCACAGCAGATGTGCAGAAGTTACACAGTTACCTGGATAAGAAGTAAAAGCAGTACTAGCGTGATTTGGAATCTGAGGCGTCATCGCAGAACTGGGCCAGCTTGGCTAAGGTGACTCTGGCCCAGGTTAACCTGTTCATCCGGCACAGAGAAGCATCCAAAGTGTCCAAAATGTCCCTCTCTGCATTTACATCAAAAGAGACATATCAGCACCTCACAAAGATGTCAAACTTGCTCTCTCTGAGTTCCAGAAAAAGCTCTGCCATCATTTCACCAGGATAGAAATGAGAGGAAAGGGAGGTCAGAAATTTGCTGTCCTCCTGAGCCCAGCGATGCAGGAAGCACTTGATGTACCACATCAAAAGAGAAATGAGTGTGGTGTCCTCAAAGAAAACACATATGTGTTT